TCCAGCCAACTTTAATCAGCAAAAATTTATATTCAATGTCAATCACTATCTACTTTCCTCCTAATTACTCTTTTCTCTTTCTGTTCATTATTAATATTTCTGTTCCTAATTTCTCCATGTAATGCCTTGAGTTTAAGTGGCTGTAGTGCCTTGCTTGGGGTGACACTGATTAAAAAAAAATAAGCAGGTAGGGATGAAAATGTATAAAAATTGCAATATATTAAAATTCTTTATGCCAAGATAGAGTGAAAGAAAGATAAAAGAGAGTATGCAGTAGAAAAAATTGGGGCATTCCTTATTCACTCATGAAATTAATTCATATCTGTATACTGTTTAAATAAAAACATGGACAAGCAGTGGAAACTGTAAATGATTACAGAAAGTAGGAGAAAATACAGGTAATGGGTGAGAAAAGAGCAGAAGTTTAAATTTTAGTTGTCAACACCTGTGGATTTTCCACAGTTCTAGCTAATTTTAATAATTCCTTTAAACTCTTGTAACGCAAAAATGTTAACATTCTCACTGCTGCATTGTTGCTGGAAAATGATGACTATAAAGACATTGATAGCAATTTCTCATGGGCACTGCCATTTTGGTTTCAGTAGTTTATTCTGCAGTACAGACTATGCTAAACAAAACTCCCAAAACATAATAAAAATATACACTCCAAAGCAAGTTATATTGTACACTACTAAATGTCTACACTGGTTTGGAAATAGTACAATAAGCTAGTTTATGAAATAAACACTAGCATTTCACAGTGCCTTGAAAATATATTTATATATGGCAACAGAAGGCACTGTAAGTTTTGTAAATATATATACATAAGATTATCTTGAAAACGTATATATACATTGACAGGAGGCAATGTAAGTGTGGGGAGTTGGTGTAAAATGAACGAATGCTGAGCGAACATTGTTTTGGAATGTTTATTTTATTTTTGTGAATACAAATTGAATCCTTTTTGTGTGACAGAGTTCAAAGCTTGTGGACTGTTGGAGCAGAGAGAGAAAGACACATCCCTGCTCCTTTGTAGTCCTGATTAGTTCTTCGGTTTTTAGAGGAGTGGGCCAGCCTGTTCCGCTTTCTGGGGAAAGGGTGGAGAGAACTGACCCTTAAAGTTCTCTTTTACTTGGTTTATACTGAGGTTGGTAAATGGTTGGTGGGTGATGTAGGATTACTCTTAGCTTTGGTACAGGGTCTTTGATCTTGTTTCATTCGTCTGGTTTCAGAAAACAAAGTTAGCTGATTGACCTATCCTTAAGAATGCTGGTGTTAAGGAGATAAGTAGGTGATACTTTTCAGAGGATTTAAGAAATATTTTTATTTTGTCTTATTTATTAAACTTAACCTAATACTACATAAGTTTGATAAGGGCTTATAAGTACATCCACATCTGCAGAAGTGTAAATATACCATAAGATGGGCTTATTTAACCCCTTTATGTTTATAGCAGCCACTCATTAACCAAGTCAGAATGAATTAAATAATAATGGCTACATCTGACAAAGTAAGAGTAATAATAAGAGAAAATAAAGAGGAATAAACAATTTTTAATTATAACAAAAGGGAGATAATCCAAATCAAACAAGAGCTAATACAATGAAATGAATTAATAAACCTACTTCTTCAACTGATCCAGTCATTTCATAAGAGTCTCCTGGAGGAAAATGGGTAAGAATGCAACTATTGTCAATTCCTTCCCACCAGAATGTATGGTGCTGTAATATCAAAAATACACATTGAATTTACAAATAACATTAGTTATGTAGAGATATTATTGATCACTGGAACTGGAAGTTCCTTACTAATAAAGATAGAACAGACACAGGATGTAGGAATCAACAGATTTGAGACAGCCCCTTATGCATGCTAGAAGCCTTTAACTGGTCTCTGGGTTTTCTTGGAGTATCCTCAAATGTATTAGTTTTTTTATGAGGTGTAAGACATTACATCTTGACAATGAGGATAATGAGAGGTTTTCAAGTAAGAACCAGTTTTATTGAAAAAACTCAAAAAGGAATTTAACAGAATGGCAGACCTCCCCACATTTCCACCATTCAGTGTACAATGAACACATGTGTTTATAAACATAGAAAAAAGTTAAGTATGTTTGTATCTATGTTACAATGGTTTTTATCATGGAAAAATAGCTCTCAAAATTTAGGTATTCTCATGGAGTTTTACAGGTGGTCAGTAATAACAGCTGAAGATACATGTAAGTTTGTACTAATACAGGTGTCCCCACCCAGTGCTCTCTCCTTGGTCTACTTTGTTTTTAATTTTCATTAACAACCTTCCCGATGACATCAGCTCTCGAACTTGGTATTATGCTAATGATACAACCATTTACTTCTGTCACAATAGTAAGCCTGATCAGTCCAATAAGGTCAAATTGGCGGGTGATATCAAAAATGAGCTTCAGTTAACTGGGGTAAAGGATGGTTTGTTAATTTTAATGCCCTCAAAAATAAACTGCTCTCTATTAATCATCTGAGAGACTATACTGAATCCATTGCTAGGTTGGCTGTTAAGATTTTTCTGATGTGAATTTATGTCATCCCAAATTAATTTTAATGATATGATTAATGTCTGTTGACAAAAATTTAAACTTTGTAATTAAAAGTTTTCTAAAAATCAAACAGCTATCACATAAATATAGACTTGACTTAAAAATTATTTCATTTAATGTTCACTAAACTGGATTTTGAAAACATGTTTTACTATAGTGAAAAATGCATTTATTTACAGCAGGTCTTTTGCCTGCTACATCAATTCATATATCAAGTATATGTCAAGTCAGCTTTTCTTGTACTTGTATGAAAATCTACTTAAATTTATGAGCAGCTCTAAGATATGAAGTACAGACAACAACAAAATCTTGATATTACCCATAATGGCAAAAGTATATTTCAAATATTATAACACTGTTACTTGGCTGGTAACACTCTAGTAAAAACACTAACTTTAAAAAGTAAAATATATTTTAATAAACAGATTCATACAAGCAAATTTGTTTGATTATTAAACAGTATTTATATCAGTCTTTTCCAGAAAACCTTTCCCTTTTCCTTTCCTTAGCTGTCAGGACAAAGATTCAAAATGACAAACTGAACTGAGAAACCATTAATAACTAAATTCTTTTTGTATTTCTCCCATGTAAATTTGATCTAAAGTAAAAACAAGTGTAAAGAAGAGAATTCTTGATAAAACTTACAGGAAATTTGTTGACCAAATTCCAGCTCAGTTTCTGAGTGACAAACTTATCAATACCACAAAGTTTCATGATCTGTGGCAGTTGAGCAGAATAACCAAAAGTATCCGGAAGCCAAAACTAGGAATTCAAAAAGAAAAATAAGTAAATTTTGCATATATTCAAGGGAATATTTTACAATTTAGCTATTTATATAACACCCGCTATCTAGGTTAGGATGCATTAATAAAACATTCATTCACTCTAATTATTATGCATATAATAATACAGCAAATTTTGGTGGTAGGGAAAAAGAGAAGCCATAATCATGCTTGTATTTTAGTTCTGATTGCATTTGAACCTGATGTATTTGCTACCCACTGACTTTATTACTACTCCACTTTTCTGCATGAACAAACCCCAATTTTAAACTGTCATCTGTGAGGTGCTAGTGAACTTAGGCAATAATGTTTTCATCTAGCCAATGTTTTACCATTTTTTTTTCGGATATCATTGTGTCTTGGACCAGTGCATACCATGCGTTTACTATTGAAATGGTTTTTAAGACTGGTGAATCTGTAATTGCAATACAAAGAGCCTTTTGTGCTCTTTTCATGTTATGTGGGAATGATACTGTTCCGGACAGAAAATTGATACTGCTATAGGTTGAAAATTTCAAGGACACAAGTTCAGCACATAAAAGAAAACATATAAAAGACCTCAAAGTGCTTGGATTTCCAGGTGATGAAAAACTATAGAAATTGTCAAAACAGTACATAGAGGCCACCATATATGGAGGATATCATTTTTAAAACCAAATGAATAAAAGCTGTAGCCCTTTGTTTAAACAATGAAATAATGTTTTTTAATAACAGATACATTGGTCTTTTTGTCAACTCTGTGTATTAATTTTATTAGCTAAAAAATAATTCAAGTTCACAATACTTATTGGTGGTTGGCTAAGATTTTTGCAATTCCGTGAAGAGCCAGACAGAATTGTATTAATCATTACAGAATAAAACAAAATATATATCCTGTAATAATTAATACAATCATTCTTGTCTGGGTCATGAGGAGCAAGTAATCATGAAACTCTCTGATAAGTATTGTGAACTTTCATTATGTTTTTTATAATAATTATTGCTCTATATAGCTACTGAGCACTTTATTGATATAAATTGTGTTCATTTTGACATAAGATGAATTATACAATTTTTAATATATCAACAGGTGTCATTACTATTATTTTTAAATTAATTTTATTCAAAAATTGTCTTTTAATTTAATTAAATAGATAAATAATGAAATAAAAACAAAATACACATTATGTACATAGTAATTATATACAAAATTAATATTAGATTTTCTAACACAAAGTACATTGCTACTAACCTCAGAACAAGTTATTCCAAATTCTTTTTCAAAGAAAGATTGTCCATAAAGAAACTGCCTAAACAAAGATTCACCACTTGGGATGTTACCGTCCTGTAATAACAGAAGTAAAAGATTACTTACTGTAAATAAGGTTATATTAAAAATGGGAAAATAAATAAAATTTAAAATAATAAAAGAAAAAGATATAAATGAATTAAAAAGCAAACCAACCATTTCAACCCAACATCCTCCAACAGGAATAAAATGGCCATTTCTTACGGATTTCTTGATTCTTTCATATAATGATGGATAATGTGACTTAACCCATTCAAACTGCTGAGCCTAAAATAAGTCAAGATTAATAGGGATTAAAAAAAATGGGCTTAAGTTCACATAAGATTGAATTTTAACATGCACAGTCCTGAGTATATATAAAAGACAGTTTTTCAGTGTCATTTGGTAAATATTTTTAAGTGAGAAACTAACTTCAAGATTTATCATTTAAATTTCATTATTTCAAGGAATATTATCAAATTATTTGTCAAAAAACAATTTATTTCTCAATATTAGACATTAAGCTGCATCAAAGATGAGATCAAACATGATAAAGATTATATTGTAAATTTATTAAAAGAAATAAAGTAATCTTCAATGAAAATTAAATGCTTTATATGAAGCCTTCACTACCATAAGATTTATAAAAGTTTCTGGTAAAGAATCTACATAGGTATATCAATAAGTCTACAGCCTAATGATCAAAAACAAAAGGCATCTACTTTACATGAGAATTATTTAGTTCTTGTCAATGCACTTATTTCAGTGAATATTAGTCACATAGATCAAGCATTAAACACTGCAAATTTTAGATAAAAATTCAGCTAATAACTATGTATGAAGCTATAGACTTATTGATCGACCTCATAAGAATTAAAAATGTAATATCTGTTCTCTCCTCATTTAAGATGGGAGAAAGAATTCAGTCTCAAGGATTCTTACCCTCAGGCAGCAAATTTCTCATTGTAGAGAGGTGGGGTTGTTGTAATATCAATGTCAGTATGACAGTGGCTGCAGGGCCTTGGCAATTTTTGTAGTTGGCCTATATGCATACATATTTCATTCAGTTAGTAATTATTTATATAAAATATTGTTTGAAAAAGATGCATCTTTTATAGCAGTTAAAATTTCCAGTATTTATATGCTGGAGTATTTTGTAAAAAAAAAGCTTCTTTCTTTTTAAATCAATTCACCCCAAGCAAGGGGATAATGCCACTAAGATGCAAATGACTACTGGGTGTGAAAGAGAATGAAAAGACTTTAAAAGGAATTGGAAACCCAATCCTAAACAGGAAAAAAGGGATAAACCTTTATACCTGTTCAAAAGACCAGAGAGGAGTGTGTACCAGAGGATAGGCGAACCTCTTAAAGATGTTAGTTAACGTAACTTTTTCTTTATTTAAATATGTAAAATCTTGTTACAGATGAAAATTTGGTGTGGCATTAATGAGATTCTGTCATGACTATATTTTGAGTTTTGGTTAAAAATGTATTTTTTTTAAAGTATTTGATAAATAACTGTCTTAAAGTACAAAAAAATAGAGAAAAAAACATCAAAAGTTGTTTAAAATTATTTGGTCTTATTTGGGTAAAATGGTTTTAATAGATTTTGTAAAAAAAAAAAAAAAAAAAAATTATATTTTTTAACTGAATTAAAAGCTGCTTTTTGTGAACTGAATTTCTTTTCTCAAGTATCAATTAACAATTTGAGAATCCTATTACAGATGTTCTAATTGTGGGAAAATTGTTTATAGATATATTTATCTTAAATATTTATAAACCCAGGCAAGGCCAGGTACCTCTGCAAGTTTAACAATAAAACTAAGTCTGACCAAATAGAAACCTTTGATCACAGAATGAAAAAAAGAAATATAACAACCATTTTGTATATAAATAAGCAAACAACTAAATAAACACAAACCTGCGAACACACAAATGTGAGGTGAGGGAATTTGTCCATCAGACGAAGAGTAGAAGACCAACTTCGGGCACATTTGCGAATAGTTTCTGCATAAGGCCACAACCATGCTATAAACAGAAAAACAAAAATAAGTCCTCTGAAATTCCAAGATGATGTGCACTCATTATTCTATAAATTATTCAAACTCTTATACCCATTTTTTATTTTTTCAACCATTGTTTTGATTGGTGCATTCTCTTTTATAATTCACATGTGTATTCATTAATCTTAAAGAAAATTTGATCAGTAGCCATCACTTTTCTTTTTTTTCAGTTTTCTGACATGATTGTCCTTGTGAAACAATAAAGAAAACTGGGGTGATGTAAAAATTACTCAAATTAATTAAAATTAATGCAAATTTGAACCTGGGATTGATCATGGATTTACCAGTAAAATCCAGTAAGATCCAATAGTAACCATTATTCCCCAGTTCCTCCAAAATTTGGCAAGACTGATAAATGGGTTTGTACCTAGGGAACTGGTCATATGTTTTGCGATTTACATAAAACTGCTAAAGTTTTGAAGAGACCACCTAGTAACAAACAATACACTTATGGCCATAAGAAATCCAATATGCTATTTTGATTAACTTGTATTTGTCTTGACATAACTAAAGATGCAGAAAAAAAGTAAGATTTTCTGGGAAAAGCTGATATTTAAAAAAAAGACACTTATCAAAATTATTATCTGGCTCTGGGGCTGTCTAGAAAAGAGGATAATAGGCAGCAGTACACTGCAGAGTAGCAATTGATGACCAACAGGGAGGGGGGTTATTTCAATAAATTCAGGGACGAAAAGTTGATTAAAATCAGATGTCCTTTCAGTTTTCTACATGATTGCAAAGCTGATTCTTTGGATATCAGGAGCTGAACATCTATGAGAATAAAATCAACATTTGTTTAACATCAATGAAATAGAAAGGATCTCCATCATATCCTGCGAAAACAAAGTCTCCATGGATGCTAAACACATCTCACAAGAACCGTGCAGAATAGAAGTTAATAGCAAAAACAAACTCCCATTCATTCAATATCTTCTTCCATATGCTATGTTTCTTCAGGATGTGGGTGATCACAGGTCTCCACAACTTTCTATCCTTTGTAGTTCTTAGAAATGTTTATCTTAACTATCTCTCACTCAATGTTCTGTCATCCATTTACATAAGCTCATTTAGGTAGGCCTGCCTTCAATATATCCTATGAGTGTCAAATTCTCCAAGCACTCTTTCCTTATTATATGCCTTAGAAATTTCAACTCTTTTGTTTCCATTTCCCTTTATATTATTATTATATTTTGGCAATACATTTTCTTACATGCAAATGAGAATTATTAGTAGCTGATTGATTCAACACATGCAAAAAACATGATAGAATGATCAAAATTAACGAGAAACACGAAAGACCTTCAGAACACTACAGTACCCTATCTCTCCTCCACATGAATGTGGAATCCAATAGTATGTTATGACTCAGAAATTGTTTTTGTTATATCTAAAATAAAATTTTATATATATATATATATATATATATATATGAAGAAATATACTCTTAAGGTGTGCTATATTTATGGGATAAAGTGCTCAATATCAGAGATATAGCATGTGTAAATATAAAAGTGAACATTGAAGTCAACACTTAGAAAAGCTAAGTGTTAACTTTTATATTCACTATATATATATATATATATATATATATATATAGTTTATACAAACTTAGGTAATCCGTATGGGTAGACCTGAGGAGGATGATATCCAGAGAGCTCAATGTAAAATTCAGAGCAGATATGTTTGAATAAAAGACAGACCACGTTAAGATTCCATGTAATAAGCTATTTCACCATAACCCCTTTAACAGGGTTCTGGATCATCGAACTTTACTTCCAAAAGCTGAAAAGAAAAATGAAAAAAGAAATTCACACGTTTTTTGGGACCTCATCAAGTATACGTAAAGTTAACGAAGTGAGGTGGGAGAGAGGGATATGAGTGTGCCATATGTATCATTTTAGTTTCCCTATTTTAAACCCCAGTGTGTCGGCTAGAGGTTGCTCAAATTTAACACGTCTCGTCTCTAGATATAGATGGCTAAGGGGTGAATGATAAGAACGACATTAAAGGAAGAAGTTACAACCCCAATAAATTACGACAGGTTTCATTCAAATTCTTAGACGCTGTCAGTTACGTTACTTTTAACGTGCATATTTGGGAGGTTATGGTTTGATAAATATCTAAATGTTAAAACAATCTCTGAAGAAATTAATTTGAAATTCGGTGGAGTTTTGGGTATTTTCTATGAAACAATTGATTGGAAAAATCCATAGACAGAACATTGAAAGAGCAATCCATTTTATATTTAGTAATTTTTTTTTTTTTTCACTAAAACTTTTTATCTTATAACTTTTAGGTTGACATCTATTCATTTTATTTTTGTTCATTAAATAAACTCGTGATTGTTTTTGATTTTTGTTCATTAAGTAAACTCTCGATTGTTTTGATTTTTGTTCATTAAAAAACTTTTGTTTTTGATTTTTGTTCATTAAAAACTTCGTTGTTTTTGATTTTTTGTTCATTAAGTAAACTCGTGATTGTTTTTGATTTTTGTTCATTAAATCTTCGTGATTTTTTTTTGATTTTTGTTTTTGATTTCATTAAATAAACTTCGTGATTGTTTTTTGATTTTTGTTCATTAAGTAAACTCGTGATTGTTTTTGATTTTTGTTCATTAAGTAAACTCGTGATTGTTTTTGATTTTTGTTCATTAAGTAAACTCGTGATTGTTTTTGATTTTTGTTCATTAAGTAAACTCGTGATTGTTTTTGATTTTTGTTCATTAAGTAAACTCGTGATTGTTTTTGATTTTTGTTCATTAAGTAAACTCGTGATTGTTTTTGATTTTTGTTCATTAAGTAAACTCGTGATTGTTTTTTGATTTTTGTTCATTAAAAAACTCGTGATTGTTTTTTGATTTTTGTTCATTAAATAAACTTCGTGATTGTTTTTGATTTTTTGTTCATTAAGTAAACTTCGTGATTGTTTTTTGATTTTTGTTCATTAAGTAAACTTCGTGATTGTTTTTTTGATTTTTTGTTCATTAAAAAAACTTTGATTGTTTTTGATTTTTTTTCATTAAGTAAACTCGTGATTTTTTGTTTTTTTTTTTGTTTTTTTTTTTGTTCATTAAGTAAACTCGTGATTGTTTTTGATTTTTTTCATTCATTTTCGTGATTGTTTTTGATTTTTGTTCATTAAGTAAACTCGTGATTGTTTTTGATTTTTTTGTTCATTAAATAAACTTCGTGATTGTTTTTGATTTTTTGTTCATTAAGTAAACTCGTGATTGTTTTTATGTACCCAATTATCAATTTATTCCCATTTAAATAATTTTATTCTCCACACTGGGGTAGTATCTTTCAATCTCAATTAAAATACCAATCTAAACTTTCCTTCATGCTATTTAAAATTCACTTCAATTGGAGAATATTAGAGCAGATATTTGGAAGAGATGTCACTAGCAGAACATTAGGTCCTTCTTTTACAATTTTTTATCTACACATGTCTTAAACCCTATTTGTAACCACATACCTATATCTTCTTATATGCCTATGAGTTCCTATATACACCTACATACACATTCACACGAAACAACCATATGTATATTTCCATCTTTACACATATACACCTGCAGAGAAAACGCACATCCACATGTCTCCATACCTATCTCCATATATACTTATGCTTACATATATATATACACACAAGGACATCTGCATATCCATATATATTCATCCGCACATATATATATTTACAAGCCTATATGTATACACACATACATACACACACACATATGCATACATACATACATACACATATACATGCATATGCATATGCATACGTATATGCAGCATATCTACATACCCACATATATGTTAATTTGCACTTTTTATCTACACACGTATTTGTCCCTATCCTCATGTCCACCCACGTGCATCCACTTATGCCTGCGTTAAAGACTATCTCAGTATTTAATTACATTATCTATATCTTTACATATAATATTACCTGATCTTTTCATATTTATGGCAAAACATATAAGTACCTATCTAATTGTACATCTCCACACACAAAAAAAAAAAAAAAAAAAAAAAAAAACAGTATGCTTCTTTTTCTGTATAAAAACATATACATGTACATATCCACAGGTGTCTCAGTGTACAAATACATTATCATAGTTGTATACATATAGTCATGTGTTAGCGTTCACGTGTGCATAGTAATATTTCTAAAAACAAAGGGAATATAAAACATTCAAAATTGCTGTTCCTATATGATTATTTCTCAATGTACTTGCTTAGGTTTAGGTTGTTTTTGTGCCGGCATTTAAAAACTAGTTCATTGTGTCTATTTAGTAGTATGTCTGGATCTTTATGTTTGATTATGAAGATTTTCTCCTTCAAACATAAGTTGCATCTGTCTCTGAAGTTTTTGGGAGTTCTGGCTCTTGATATTATTCTCCACTTTATTTGTGGTGTTAAGCCACTCTCCAACAAAAACCAATAATGATTTGATAGTGCTGTTTGGTTCTTTTTACATTTATTTTTGAAGGATTGGCGATGGTTGTATAGTCAGTGTTTCCAATCTCCCGCTGATATTCCTATGCATATCTTTTTCTCTTCAACCTTTTCTTTGGGGAAAATTGTTGCTTCATATATTGTGTTCTCTGCCATGCATATTCCTTCAACTGGGCACTCTGATCCTGTCCTGCAGTTGCATGTTGATTTTTCCATTCGTGTTGTATCCTGATTTTGTCTTAGATTATCCTAAAGTTCTCTTAAAATTTTACTGTTGTGTGAGCTAATAATTCTTTCCATATTGTTCATGCAAGAATAGCTAATCTTTAGATTCATCTTGTTGAATATTTTTTTTCAGAGATGCATTTTTGCTAAAGTATTTTTCTATCAGTTTTATGAAGTATTTACCTATATTAATATTGGAGGTTACAAAAAGGTGGGTTGAACCATATAATTTTCCTTTTTCCTATTTTTTGGGTTTAGTGGATTTTTTTTGTTTACTGACTTATCTATGTAATTTAGTGTTTGCTTAAAATTACTTTTTAAAAGGGCTTTATTGTATTCCCATTTATTCTGGTTAAAAATGGTTTTACTGGAGGAAAGTTTATTTATTCTAGCATTTACTGTATTTGGGATTTGTTTAATTATTGATTTCGGGTGATTGGAGTGGATATTTATATATATGGGTGATTGGTTTTCCTTTTGGAAGGGTTTATAAGTATTAATGTTCAGATTAAATGTAACGTCTAGGAAGTTTACTATTTTTAAGTTGGAAGAAATCTCAATTCTAAATCCTAGAAATTTGAAGGCCCTAATTATTTTCTTTTGTAGTTGGGATGTTAACGGACCATTAGTATTAGGTACAGCAACTAACCCGTCATCTCTGTATAGTCCTATATTTTGAGGGTCAAGGAATCTACTTAGGATATCTAAAATGTATATACCTATTAGGTCTGCTATTTGAGCTGAATCAAAAGATCCCATTGGGACATCAAAATTGTCTCTATCTTTTTTTAATCCAAGTAGTGTTGTTCAGTTTTAGTATGGACTGTCTAGAGTCCATTATGATTTTTATTTCTTCGTCAGTAATGTCAGTGTGGATTCTGGCACAACTTAAGCTATTTTCTAATAATTCTTTAGAGATTGAGGGGTAGAAATCGATGATATCAAGTTGTATAAAAGTAGTATTATTTTTATTCTTTATTTTTTGGAACCAGTTAATGATGTCCGATGAATCTTTCCAAAGGTTTAACGGGTATTTTTTAATTATAGATGTGTTTATTCTTTTTAGGATGTTTTTAGAAATTATTCCTAACTCTGATTTGGAGGGAATTATTAGTCTGGACTGTAGATTATTCTGAAAGTTAGGTTTATGGTCTTTAAAAAGTAGGTAGGCGTCTTTTAGATGAGTTGTACCCATTCTATCAGCAATATTATATTTAAATGCTAATTTACAGTTTCTTTGCGTATGGAGGATAAGTGTTTAGAATTGTTATCTTTCTTATAAGAACCAGAGACTTTATTTTGAATCAGATGGTTGTATTCCGAGGGATTAATTTTGTAAATATTTTTAGATTTGTCAGCTCTGATCCATAGTTTTTTTGAATTTTTTATATTTGTGATGTCTTTTTGAGTTTGGATTGGAATGGGTTGTATTTTTTCTGGAAGGATATTTTCTTAATTAACTCAATTAAATCTTGTTCAAAAGGTTCTAATAATTTATTGTTTGGTGGAGTGTTTTGAGATTTAAAGTAAAAGGCTTCATCTAGTTTAGTGGGTTTGTCATGGGGATTAAGATGGAAGTGATTTTTCCACCTCATTCTTTTTATGTGTGTGTAGGTTTGTATATAGGAACTCATAGGCATATAAGAAGATATAGGTATGTGGTTACAAATAGGGGTTTAAGACATGTGTAGATAAAAAATTGTAAAAGAAGGACCTAATGTTCTGCTAGTGACATCTCTTCCAAATTTCTCCTCTAATATTCTCCAATTGGAAGTGAATTTTAAATAGCACGAAGGGAAAGTTTAGATTGGTATTTTAATTGAGATTGAAAGATACTACCCCAGTGTGGAGAATAAAATTATTTAAATGGGAATAACCGTTGATAATTGGGTACATAAAAACAATCACGAGTTTACTTAATGAAAAAAATCAAACGAATAGATGTCAACCTAACAAGCTATAAGATAAAAGTTTTAGTGAAAAAAAAAAAAATTACTAAATATAAAATGGATTGCTCTTTCAATGTTCTGTCTATGGATTTTTCCAATCGATTGTTTCATAGAAAATACCCAAAACTCCACTGAATTTCAAATTAATTTCTTAAGAGATTGTTTTAACATTTAGATATTTATCAAACCTTAACCTCCCAAATATACACGTTAAAATAGCGAAACTGACAGCGTCTAAAATTTGAATGAAACCTGTCATGTAATTTATTGGGGTTGTTGTAACTTCTTCCTTTAATGTCGTTCTTATCATTCACCCCTTAGCCATCTATATCTAGAGATGAGACGCATTAAATTTGAGCAACATCTAGCCGACACACTGTGGTTAAAATAGGAAACTAAAATGATACATATGGCACACTCATATCCTCTCTCCCACCTCACTTTGTTAACTTTACATATACTTGATGAGGTCCATAAAAAACGTGTGAATTTCTTTTCAGCTTTTGGAAGTGAAGTCTGATGATCCAGAACCCTGTTAAAGGGGTTATGGTGAAATAGCTTATTACATGGAATCTTAACGTGGTCTGTCCTTTATTCAAATATATATATATATATATATATATACACCTGTTGTTTTGAAAGAGTTAAAGTATGCTAAAAAAAAGAAATCACTTACCACTATCAATATGACAATGCCCCATAGCATGAATTTCATGTGTAATGGAACCATTTTTCTTTGAAAAGAAATTTTTAGCAATTTCCCTTGCTCTAAAAGGGAAAACACAAAGCAACTAAATTAAGCATTGATTAAACAGAATAATTAAAAGAATTAATTTACAATTTAATGCACTGATTCGCTTTTGTGTAAACAAATTTTTAAAAACTTGCCAGTAATTTGAAAGAATTATCTTATATTTATTGTATAAAAAACTTCTTTTTCTGTCTGAATTTCTGTAATATGGAAATATAATTATTATACATTATTATTCATACAATTGACTTCAGCATGATTGTTATAGTCACATTTAATCATTGTACTCTCCAGCATTCTTTATGTGCTTGCCATATTTCCCCTCAGAGAATTCTGAATGAAACACTTTATTCAATCTACATACATAGATTGTTCTCATTTACCTGCCCTTCTTAGGAGATTTCTTATATAGGTTAATAAGATGCTGCTTTAGTTTTTTTCATGGATTAAAAACAACAAACATTAAAATGAAAACTCAAAAAAATCCTATAAGAAAATGATTGAGTGAGCAAAAGTATTGGTTACATTTTATCTCATTAACTTGTAGCTCAATCCTTATGTCAAGCAGTGAACAAATGTTTCACTACTAATGAACTGGTAGATCAGTTGAGGTTGATAGCAATCAAGATCTTACTTGAGAACAATCAATATCATAGAATGGAAGAAATACTCAAAATATGCAATTGAAGCAATGAAAATCATTTGCACTAGATTGGTTATGTTAGTCATTTTGATGTGTGACTTCCACAAAATTTTAGCAGAAATTTAACTGACTAAATAGCTTTATGTTACCCAGTAGATTAGTGGAAACGTGGCCGAGTGGTTAGAACATTTGCATTTTGACCATGAGACCTGGGTTCGAATCGCACCATGGTCGATTTGTCAATAAGATGTTATTCGACTAGAGAGGTTGATTCCAGTGTGCAGTACCTGAAAACCATACCACGGGTTGACTCAAGCCTTGTGAGTGAAATTGGGTAGATGGAACCCTTAGGGGCTGTCACTAGCTGTGCTAGCACAAAAGTCACAAGTCATTGTGGCCGAGAGCGTGAGCATGCTGGCCTTATTCAAATTGTTGATCATGCTAGATAACACGCTCAATCCCAGAAACTGTAATTAAGGTCTGCTCAGCATAGTTGCAGTATAAACCACAGGTGGGCTCTGTGGATGTTGAATAAACACAAATGCACTTGAGCAAGCATCTGCAATAGGGATTGGCTAACCGCCCTAGTAGACAGGTATCCTCTAATATGAGTGGCCAGCTATACACATACACACATACACCCAGTAGATTAATGTAAAATAAAACTGAATAAATGCTTTACTATTCCCAAGAAACTAATTTCTTCAGCATATTTTTTTAGTTTTCCTAGTTTTGTGTATAAGAATTTTATCATTTTTTTTACCTTTGATAAGCAATATTAGTATGAGCGAGGCATTCGTTTACCATGCTGTTAGCTGTGTACAGAGCCTGGAAACATCTTTCACTATTTTCTGGAAGATGCTGAAAAAAATGAAATAAAATTTCAAACTAATATTTTTCAAATGAAAAGATATATCTGTTCAATTTATGAATATATATTCAATGTCCAAAATGTTTACTTAGTTTATTAAGTAAAAAAAATATTTAAATTTTAACATCTTTATCATTTTTTTTTTACTATCTTCTGTCATCTTTCAATCAAATCCATAATTCCACCATCCCAGATTTTTTTTATTTTCTCATCTAACAACTGTTCTAATTATGTTTTTTAGTCTTCCAGATAATAGAAATTTATTTCCATTGAGAGAATTCTGTAAAGATTAGAATAATAATCTCAAACTAAAAAGTAACATTTGCCAAATGAGTGGAAACTTCCCAGTGAAACTAATAATGTTTAGAAGGTCATTAAAGGAACATAGACTTACATATATCTCTGTGACATATATTGTGATTGGATACTTTTCATCATCTGCTGTATTCATTTGGTCTAATTGAGAGCAGTTCTTGTTCAAATCAACCGGAAGGAGCTCATGGAAAAGAACTCTATAGTGAAGAACACAGTAGCTTACTCTGACAATCAAAATGTCCATGTGTTATGCATATTCTCTGCCAAAAATGGGTAAAAATTCCAGACCTTATTTCTAACTACTTTTTCTTAGAGAATTCAACAGCTTTTATCTGATCAATTGTGAGTAGGTGTATATAAGTCCTGATTTTGATAGGCTAACGGTTGGAATTTGACAGAACAATTGGCTTTGCTAGCCATGTGAAGTATAATTGTTGATTCTATTGTGACCTGTGACTCTTGGCTTTGTGAGTCATTTGTATTTTATGTTGTTATAAAGTATCCACCTTTCATTGACCAACCTAAATTATTTCAAATTAGATTTAAGTTGTGAATTGCACTCAGAAACACAATCCTGCATGTTTTGTGCTAAACATATGTAGAGAAGCCACACACAAAAATGGCTAATGACAGCTTTGCTCCCCCCCCCTACTGACACTACCAGGAGCAACCACAGGTCAAACGCTCATAAGAATAAGTTAATCCCAACCAAGCTGGCCCTGATCATTATATCTGATGTATAGCACATTAGGCTATAAGCTAGTTAAATATATATAAAATAAGTGTTACAGTGTGTGTCCTAACTTATTACATAGTGGCAGTGGTATATAAAATATCTTGTGCACATGGTAAACAGAACAATGTCTGCACAACATACATATTAACCACTGGATTTTACATGTAAAGTTTTAAAGGTGAGCCTGTACTGCATAATCAGAGAGATGAACGTAGCAACCCCAAACAACATGAAGACTGTTTTGACAAGTAGGGATTGCAGTTGTATGCAGTCAGTATTGGTTCTACAGTCCAAGTACCATTACTAGTACTATAGGGGTGGTAACACCTGTTAGGGTCCAAGCTATTTTAGTTTCCCTACATCTTCAGTGTTTTCTATCAATGTATAATTATAACCAATGGTTTTTGTTCATATTTTCGTATACATAATTCCATCAATAACAACATTATTTTTGTTTGATAATGTTCTTTTGAAGGGCAACACATTACATAATTTTTTTCCATTGTCATTCAATTACCTACCAAAATTACACAACTTACTTTTGCCATTCCTATGAGAATGTCAAAGTCTCTTAAAAGTTGGAAGACAAGAGGATCTCGAATGGCTATTTCTGCTTTACTCAAGACAAATGAACGGTTTGAGTCAGGTGGATTAATCAGACCATCACGACCAACACCAAAAAGGCCATTGCATGCCATTTCTACATACAAAGTGAAACTGGAAAAGAAAGAAATTAGCAAAAGATAAACATATACACATTTAAAGACTGAATTTTGTTTCAAAACATCAACTTGATAACTGGCATTGTTGTAAATTGTAAATTTTCACACCTACAGCTATTTTCTAAAACTATGTAAAGATGTCAAATTAAAATATAGAATGAATTTGATATAATACATAATTACAAATAATTTCTTTCTTTCCTCTCTATTATTCCTTTCTTTATTTTTTGTTCCTTTCTATTTCCCACCATTTTTTTTTTTATTTTCCTGAAGGAAATATTAAGTGCTTCATAGTTATTGCTTTCTCTATCTTCCCTTTTTTTCTCATGTATACTTTCTTTTTCTCACTAAAATCAACAGCATCTCTGATATATCTTTTTCTGGTGTCTATTTTCACAATCAAACCAGGATGATTGTTTTGTTTTATGACTCATCAACTTCTCATGGGTCATTTAAAGCTGAAACAGTCTTAAATTGAAAATAATTTAAATTGTATTCAACTGCAGATTTTTTGTACACAATCATATGGTATCAACTATTGATTTTTTTTTATGCAATTATATGGTATCAACTATGTTGGTTGGGTTAGATACCAGTACTTCTAATTGTTATGTTTATATTTTTTGGTATAAACCCACTGTTTTCAGAAATTATATAATATCATCCACACTTGCTCTGTCAAAAAGTTCCTTTATGTTGTTTACAAAAAACAGGAATGTCTATTAGTTACCTGAAGTAATGTGGGGCATAACACATGCTAACTAATTTACTAACAGAGGAGTAAGCAAAAATATGATGATCTGTATGGTTGCATAAAATAACCGGCAACAGAAACGTTTTTCTTTTTCAATCTTACAACTCAAAAGAAAAAAATTAAAGGATGTGTACTTTTTGTTTTTATTTAATAAAAAGAATAGATATTTGAAGAAATATTTTTTTAAGTTAGAAAGAGATATTACATTTCTTTATTGTTATTCAGAAATGTGAAAATATATATTAAAAAAAAAGAAATTAAACAATATGTGTATTAAATAATTTTTTTATGTACCTGAGATGTCTTAAAGAAGCTTTTTCAGAAAGCAGGTACTCACATCTCTCATGCTGTGAACTCAAACCCTGTAAATAGCCAAAAGAAAAACAATAGTTATCCAACAATGTTAAGACATTTTGTCAAAACTTCTCTAATAGGTTTTTTCAACAAATCATTTTGCTATAAATACAGAAGGCAATAAAATTATAAATGGAATTGGATAAGATTTTCACATTATTCTTTAATCCTTGCTGAACTGTGGTACTCACTGTAGTTGAGTGGGAAAGCATGTCAGATCATAAAAATAAACAAAAAAAACTTAAATAAACAAATTAAGTAGATAATAAACAAAGTAACAAACTATGAATGCACATATAAACACATGTAAATATAATAATCAATAATCAAGTAATCAATAAATAATGATCAAAAAGTTAACAACACTATAAAATAGCTACAAATAACCACATTAGAATCCACAATTATTTCTACTCAATAGCTGCTAGAATAATTTTAAATATAGCCATTGCTGCAATACAATAGATCTTGCTACACATAATGTAACATTGACCAGCATATATAAATAGTCAAGTCAACACACATGGCCCAAAGATTGCCTTCAACCTTGAAACAGACTGTCGCCACTCGGTATTGATTTATATATATATATATATATATATATATATATATATATATATATATATATATATATATATAGTGTGCGATGGATAAATTGTCATCTAAATTATGCAAAAATGAAAATAATACTGACATCTCATTTTAAGATTCACCAAAATTACACAAAAATATCTTGAAATACTAAAGAGTAAATTTATTCAATAAAATCCCCATTGGTTCCAACCACAGCTTCCAGACGAATTTGGAATCACCTGCGTCGCTTCTGGACAGTCTCCTGGTTTAAGTTGGTGAATGCTGCCATAATTCTTGCCTTCAGTTCATCTTTGGTGTTACAAGGAGTTTTGTTGGTCTCTCACTCAACTGCACTTCACACATAATAATCAAGGGGGTTGCAGTCTGGGTAGTTCGGTAGCCAGATATAAGGTGTGATGTGGTTACAGAAATTGTTTGACAGCCATGACTGGGTTTTCCTGCTTCTGTAACATGGTGCAGAAAACTGTTGCCAGACATAATGTCTTCCAGCAACCACCGTCTTGACCCAAGGCAGTACTACCTTCTCAAGGCACGTGATGTATGCATTCATGTTGAGTTTGAAGCTATCACCTACAAATTCAAGAGTTCTTTTCTTATCAGAATGATCAGAGTTAATTCTTCGAGTTGCCGTACCTTTGTAATTACCATTAGACTCATCCAACTCTTTCTGAATCCTCTGCATTGTTCTCAGACTGACATCCAAACACTCTGAAATGTCCATATTGGAGGTTCCAGTATGAATGTCAAGCAGTACAGCATACCGTTTCCCAATTTCTGGTGGAGTGAATTGCGTCATGTGCTCTTTTTCTCACAGACAGTGCCCAACTAACCCTACTATACTATACTATGCAGTAAACAAAATCAAAAATAAACAAACGTGCATGCACGAAATAAAAATTGTAAAATGGCGGCAATTTACCCATCACACCTTGTATTTTTAACAGGTTTATTATGAAGATTCCTACCTGGACAGGATGGCCATCATACCAGATCATAGCTTCAGAACCAGAATTCCACAAAAAGTACACTTCATGTTCAACCCATGATTTCGGAATTTTAAGCTCTACTCGAAACCAATGAGTGGACCAGCTGCAAAGTGAATAATTATAAATGAAATCCATAAAAAATACAGTTTTTGGTACATCAACATCTATAGGTAGAGAAAGGTATTATGTATTATTCATACTATGCTGCCAGTATGACTCCTTTCTCATTGATAAAAAAAAAAAAAAAAATTTTTTTTTTTGATACCAGAAAAATTTTCAAACATTAATTTTGGATTTTTATTTTTGGAACAGCATATTATTATATTTATTGGATGCTGGGCTGTGATGCTCCCTGTGGACAATCAGTCTGAAGCAAGACAGATAAAATGCGGGTTTCTCCTACAAAAAGGAGTGCAATTTTAAAGCCTACTAGAAAGCACATTTTCTCTAAGTTTTTTTTTGAGTGCAAAGGCTGATAGATGTAATACATGCTGTTCAAAATAATTAAAAAAAACAAAAAACAAGACATGCATTTCAAACACAGGTATCCACTAGAAATAATGTTTGAAATGATAAAAATATCAGATTAAAAATAAAGCTATTCTTTTGAAATTGTTTTATTTACCATTCAGATATGAAACTGAGGAGATATAAGTTTTGAGAAAAATCTGAATGAAGGAGTGCACCTTCCTTAAAAGGGAAAATAGAAACTGGCTGAGATGTGATTTTCTGTGGCTGAGTGGGTTAAAGCACACCACATTAAATGGTGGTTTCTCCTACAAAGAGGGATGCAGGTTTGAATCCTGCTGGAGAAAATATTTTCTTTATGAAGCTTTATTCAGTTTGCAGGTTGATAGACAAAGTACACACTGATAAAAAAAAAAACAAAAAACAGTCATCTATTTCAAAAATGGGTATCTACTAAAAATAATGTTTGAAGTAATAAAAACGTCAGATTAAAAATAAATCCATTATTTCATAGTGCACAAATTCTATACAAAGATCCATATATAAATATACAGATCTAAGGAATTAAAAATTAATTATTTTTAAAATCAGAAATTAGTGTGAAATTTTAGTGGCAAGTCCTATCAGTCATAAATAAACAAGAAAACAAATATACCTTGGACCAAAGCTTTGTCCAATGGAACATGGTTGATAAATTTGCTTCATGGCATTATCAACAGTTATTCGATCTGGGGCAGCATAATGAGAGATGCTGTCCACAGGTTGAACCTTTGGATATAATCTGTAAAGAAAAAACATAAAAAGCATTAAGGAATATGACAAAAAATAAAAATCTAAACACCTAGTTTCTGTTCTCACATTGGCTCACAAAAGGGTAGCAGCAAAAGTCTATACAACATTTGGTTTGAAGGCAATGTTCACACTTCCTGAACATGTACTTGTAGGGATAGCTTTTTATGTCAATATTAACTTAATTACAAACCTCATCATTTCCTCCGTGTGTGTGTGTGTGTATATATATATATATATATATATATATATATATATATATATATATATAAAAAATATGTGTTTGTGTGTGTGTGCAAATAAACAGAAAAATAGGAAAGAACCATTAGGTTAATAATCCAAAGTTTTTGGGTATTTTTGTTTTTATTTTTGATAAACAGTGCTCAATACATAAGTAGAGCCTAAATTATAATCATATTTTTAAAAATAATTATAATATATATATATATATGTGTGTGTGTGTGTGTGTGTGTGTGTGTGTGTGTAAATAATCAGAATAACAGTAAAGATTTGCCATGGGTCAGTCATCTCCTGCTTGTAATGGTACCCAGCAGATTCAAATGTTAATTGTGTTTGACTTATTTTTTGAAATGTGTACAACAATATCAAATTGTAACCTGGTGTCATAATAACACAACCTGGCCACAAGTACAAAAAATACAAAAGGGCTGAAAGAAACCAACATTGGAATCAAAAACAAATGAAGTATTCTTTGGTTTGAAACAAAAAGTTGCATCACTAATAGTTGCAATATGTACACTACATCCATTCACATGGATACCCTGAAATAACTTCAAAAGGACTAAACAGAAATCAAAGAAAAAGAAAAATGAGTTTGAAACAACCAAAAAATTTAAACTTTGAAGGAAACTTTGACAAAAATTGCAAAGTATGGGAGCAATAATACGATTTTTATTTGCTTGCTGCTGGAGTGATAGGAAAAGAGGAACTAATACAAATCGCAACATTCCTAGACATAGATGGACCACTATCTCAACAGACTTTCAGTTCATTCAAGTCTGTAAACCCTGGATGATAAAAATGAAAGACAATGTGTGAAAAATAATTTCAGAAATACCGCCAACCAAAGAAAAATACAACATATGTCAGATACATATTTTTATGCAGAACCAGTTTCTTTTAGAAAAATTCAACTTGTTCCTGACTGATATAAAACTGGAAGTGAAAGATTGTGAATTTAGTAATCTCCAGGACAACTTAGTAAAAGACATGATTGTATGTGGGATTCAAAACAAAAATACACAGGAATTACTACTTTTGGACCCTGAATTAGTGCTAAAAACAGAAATAGACAAAAGCCAAGCAATTGAAATCAGCCCAGGTCAAGTAAGAAACATAAATGAAAAAATATCAATGGTGGCACTAATACAGAATGTGGCACCTTGCATTATTAAAATATTCATAGAAATATGATTTAATTTTTTCTTACTCGGTTACTAAACAGGTTGTTGATTTTTTTAAAACGGAAAATAACTGAGTTGAAAATAATTCACTAAGATTGTACTAGACGATCTTAAGGGAAGAAGAAGGAAAGAAAGAAAAAAAGAAAAAGAAAGAAGAAGAGAAAAAGAGTTGTATGATGCATGACCCAATTGAGGGGTGGAGATAGGAGTCAGAAAGAGATTTAGGTCAGCGTCTTGGCCGATTTTTCGAAAGACAATTGGAAGAATAGAATTAGCAATAATAAAAAAGAAAGAAAAGGGAAAAGACATGATATCAAAACGGGCCGCTGATGTAGACCAGATATCGTCAAAGCATCTGACCGACTTTTGCGTGGAGAGACTCCTTATCAATTTGGTTTAGAACAATAGAAATAAAATTTTAAATCAGAGAAAAAGTGTCTTTGGGTTGAGGGGAGTGACCGGTGGAACGATATACAGATCCTGACCTGTTAAGAATTGGACACCACGTTAATAAAGTGGAGACATTTTCAAAGTAGATAATTAAGATTTTCGACTATCAGGAAAAACAAAGAGGTAAAAAGAGGGACAATTGCTTTTGGCTCACAGAGGGCATAAGAAGGCGGAAAAGATCCTTTCTGAAGTCAAGTCTAATTAGCAGCGGGCTGTTTGACAAAGTCCAGGTGAGAGAAGGCCAAGATGGTCATTTTTCGACGTCGAAAAAAAAAAAAAAAAAAAGGAAAAATTAGATTTTGTTTTTTTAGAACAAGAACGATATAAGCCCGCCCGATTGATTGCAGGAAACGCCCAATCAGGATCTCATTAGCCGAAAACGGTCACGTGGCTGCAGAAAAGAAAAGAAAAAATGCTCAACCAGAATCCCATTAGCAGCAAAACGGTCCGTGGTTGCGGAAAAGAAAAGAAAGAAATGCTCGATCAGAATCTCATTAGTCGAAAAGCGGTCACCTGACATACGAGAGACCGAGAGAGATGGATATCGCCTCCCACCAAAAGCACTATGAGGAAGTAGGGGTGAAAACAATAGCGATAATGAGAAATCAAAATAATGCGACTTTTGGAATTATCGAGAAAACCCTGACGCCGACAGACCCACCCCAGTTTGTTCTTGGGTCAATATAAGCAGGACCCCAGTCGACAGAAATCAGTTGAAGTTGGAGTTGCAGATGGAGTGGGTTGCAGCTGAACCGCGGGCAGGAAAGAGCCTGAACGCGGGCATCAGGCCCGATTCACTCGCCCCTTTGCGGGCAGAAGAATCCTCAGACAAGAAATCCTTCCAGCCCAAGTCGAAGACAGGAGAACTTCCAGCCCAAGTCGAAGACAGGAGAACTTCCAGCCCAAGTAGACAGGAAACTTCCAGAAGAAGTGCCTGAAGCCTGAAGAAGAATTGGAGATGCAGACAAGCCGAAAGTCGATGAGAAGTTAAAGTTCAGCCCTCGACGGCAGTGAGAAGAGACCACCTCAGGCGACAGAGAGTTGCGGCTAAGTTGAAACAAGAAATCTTCCACCAAGTTGAAACAGGAAAACTACCAGCCCAAGCAGACGAAGAAGAAGAAAAATACAACTCAAGTCGGAGAGAAGAATCAACTGCGAATGATCGATAGAAATTAGCCCCAGTGTCGAACTGAACCACACTCCGACATACATACATGATTCTAGAAAGTAGGTAATTCGACATTTTTCTATTGTGTGATAGAAGCTTGGTGCCATAGTCCACAGAGCAGGTCGGGAATTGAGAACAATTTTGTTTTTTTTATGTAACGGACATTAAGATATAAAAGGTTGTTACCCTTTTATCAGCAATTTTGTTTAGTGTCGTGAGTTTTTGTTTTATTTGTGTTTTGCCACCCCGTCCGGACTCGACTTGTATCGCCCAAATCCCTGCTGGTCCCGTCTGTCTAAGATCTAAACACAAAGCGTGGGTAGACAGACCGGAGATCGGTATAGTTGCTTTAGTGACCAGGTATTGGAAGCGAGTCGGGAAAGGCGAGGCTGGTGATCATCTGACCAAAAGGGTTGGAGCGCACGCTTGGACCCAGGAGGAGCGACGTCACCGTTAGGCGCCCGTAACCAAAGGATCCGACACTGGGCCAGGTGTGTAACCGTCACAAGAACATGGAATTGAGAAACCAAATAAAAAAGGAAATTTAAAAACCCACCATCCCAATATCAGTCTGAAGTATCATGTCAAGTGGTAAATGCAAAAAAAAAAGCATCCACTGAAACAATACCCTGCTTATAGAAGGACATGTGGAAAATGCCACAGAACCATTTTGTTAGCATGTAACATTCTAAATCAAAAGGTGTGCTGCAAATAAGTACTAATGAAAGTGACAACTCATCTTCTTACCAATACTTATTTCTCAACAGCATTGCTGCACAAGCCAACATAATAATCACAAATATACTGCATACATTTTACATCAATCAAATACAGATGACCAATATCTGACTGAAGAATTACCATCAACACATCATCCAACTAGAAGGGCAGATAAAAGTGAAATGATCTATCAACAAGGCAAGACACCTGACACTTCAAATTATTAATTTGAATAAGCTAATTAACTTTATGGGATTTAATTTTTGTGAAGAATCCCTGGTGAAGACTATCTTCATGTTTGTTTAGCATTATTCTAGCCCTATGCTTATATGCTTCTGTAACATGCTGGTTTGGTGAGGAGGGATATATCTTACTTTCCATTTTTTTTGCCTTAAAAGAGCTTTGATTTATATACATATAATTTAAATTCAGCATATTTTGACAGCAACTGTTCATGTAAATAAGTCTTATTAAAAAGAATAGGTATTTTATGTATATTTCATTTATTCATCATTTTTTTTCTAATATGCGAATAACTTTTCATAAATGTGGCTGTTGTAGATGTGAAAAACAGCCAAAATTTGACTCACAGGAGTCATCAACAGTAAATGGAAAAAAAATCAAATATATAAAAAAAATATTACACATCTTTACATGTTGCTGATATGACTTTCTATGTTTGATTTAGCTTTCAAAGAAAAAAAAACACTGTAAGGATATAGAAGGCGATTATCTCTCCTTGGTGGTGATAGTCACATGATGGTCGCTTAATGATGCCACTCCATACAGTGACAAAAACAGCAGTCAATTTCAGCTTGTTTACAGCAGCCAAACCAAAAGATTGCTTTTTTAGCCAGTGCCAAGGAGCCCAGGCTGAAGCTAAATCTGCCTCCTGCAGCAAATGCTACAGTTTACAAGTCAATGGTGACATTTCCCTTTGGGAATATATCTTCCCCAGATATAGAAAGAACCACCAGCTTGCAGTCCTCAATTTAGGAAAACCCAGCACTCATTGTTTCCTCTTCGTGGAATATGACTCACCTGAGACATAGATGAATCTAGCCTATTTGAATCTGGAGTCTTAAACATAGCTTCTCCAGAAGCACTGAAGAATTTCCATATTTTATGTAAGACATTTCCTTTTTGTTTCTCCTTACACTCTGCTTTCCCATGTAGATATATGGGATATATTATTCTTTGTGGGACATGTGTTTATATGTGTATATAGTTTTGTGTATGTCTGAGAACAAAGTATGTTTATCATTCCTTTTCGTTTCAGCTATACCATTTTGTCCATGAACTATGCTGTTGTTATATCATGGATATAATAATGGCCATCATGAAGAAAACACAAAAGGGGAAAAAAAATCTTTCTACTATAGTTCTCTCTTGTTACAACACCTTTGAAATGATATGCTGCTTAAAATACATTTGTCTTTCCCACCCTTTACTTTATCACATCTCCTGATGATGACTCATGTGAGTTGAAAGCTTGGACCCAATACAAATTTTGGTTATTTCTTTTTTACATCTACAATAGTCACATCTGTAAAACTTTTTCACATATTAGAGAAAAAAATATTTAATAAATTTAATCAACATGAAATGTTCATTCTTTTTAGCAAGATAAATGTAAGAACAATTACTGCTAATAAATATATATATATATATATATATATATATATATATATATAGTGTTAGTTTGGAAGACTGTTTTTCAAGCCAAAATTGCTGTTTTTTTCAATGGTTTACTGATAAAGATATCTAAGGCAAGCAGGCTTTGTGGTAGAGTGCTCAACATTAAAAATAGCGATAGTGCATTAATAGAAAATATGAAAAAGTTTTTTCACTTAACTCATGTTTACTTCAAAGTTTCATGGTTACATAGCTGCAATCACTTTTCAAAACAAAGTTAAACTGCTAATATTTCTAGATTTCTTTGTATTTTTGTTTTAGTATGAGTGCATTACTTTCCTTTTCACTTGATGGGTGTTGATTAGTTGTTGATTTCAATTCCTCTCTCTTTCTTTTTGTTTTTATTCTTTCATTCTTTCCTCACCTTCTCTGTTGACCTCTGCTTTATTGCTATTGTGTTATTGTTAGATTTTGTGTGTTTATGTGTGTGCCTATTCATGTGCACACATCCATGTATACAAGCATGCAAATACACACTCACCTGCACAGGTATATTTGTGTACTTGTGTATTTGTGTTACCTATATATTTCTTGGTTGGTCTTGTGTTTATTGTTTTGACCTTTTAGTTTAGGTTATGATTAAAATTTTGTGTGAGTGTATGGTTATGTGTGTGTCTGTGCATGTACACGCATGCATATGTACATATAACATCAACAACAAAATAATGCTCTTTCATACAAACAGACATAAAAGACTTTTAACTATCCATTAATGAAATCACACTAAACAATGCACTAGACCTGGCAAAACAATACATAAACAACTCAAACGAAGAGCTAAACATTATCAAACACTACAAAAACTTAATACTATACTACAACAAAAAATATGGACAAAAACATAACACCAACAACAACAATACCAATTCTGACTATACCTTTGATGTAACAATGGGCAACTATGACAGCACAGTTATGTGAATTTATAGGCATATACATCAATAAATTAACACACATCATTAATCAAAAAGACATGGGCTAATACAGTGATGATGGACTAATAATCATAAGAAATTGCAATGGCAGAACTAAAGAAAAAAATAAGAAAACAGATTATAGAAACTTTCAACACATTAGGATTTAAAATAAACATAAAAAATCTAAAAATAGTAAACATCTTAGATATAACATTCAATCTAAACAACAACACATACAAACCATACAGAAAAGCAAACAACAACTCTATATACATTAACAAAAACTCAAATCACCCTCCTAACGTATTCAAGCACATAGTCATATCTATAAGTGAAAGAATATCAACAAATTCCAGCATAAAAATATTCAATGAACACAAAAAAACATATGAAACAGCATTAAGAAATAGCGGTTATTCAAACAAACTAGAATATACAAATGAAAACAAAACAAACACATTAGAAAAAGAAACATAATCTGGTTCAACTCACTATACAATAATACAATAAAAACAAAAATAGGAAAAATATTCTTCAAAATAACTGTAAAACATTTCTCCAAACACAACTATCAAAAATCAACAAAGATACAGTAAAAAATCAGTTACAGCTGCATGGATAACCTGGAGAAAATAATAAGCACAACATAAATTAGCAAAACAAAAACAAATGCAATTGTCAAAATAAAAATAATTGCACACTTAACAACAAATGCTTAACCAACAACACAGTAAACAGAGCCACCATAACAAACAACACAAACGTGTGACAAAAAAAATACATTGAAGCTACAGAAACAAAATTTAAAGCAAGATTTAACAATCACCAAACCTCATTTAAAACAGAAAAATACAAAAACAACACAACGCTATCAAAATACATATGGAACCAGAAGCAAAGTAACATCACTAACAAGATTAAATGAGAAATTATAAAAAAGCAGCCCCACACAGTAGCAACAGCAGAGGAAACACTGACCATCATCACATTAAAAAATCAAAACAACTTATTGAACAAGAAGAATGAAATAATGGGGAAATGCAGACATCTAAACAAACATCTACTTTGCTATTTAAATACTAACTTAAAAAGAAAAGAAAGAAATACAACACAAAACACAAGCTACCATAACTAGCACCTAATCCATACTAATCTCAAACACAAACCACCCAGAAAAGAGTAACCACAATATCAACAAAAAGTAACCAACAAAATTTATCACAACTACACTCATTACAAAATGCAAAATAATACATACACACTAAATACAAAAAACACAAATAGAAAAATAAATTAAAAAAAACAAGAAAACATATATGTGTGCAAACATACACCCACATAAACACAGACACACACACACATAAACACAAACATACACAAGATCTCTATTCTTCCCCTCTTCAATCAATTTGTGGTGTTAACATCCTCTGCTGATAAAGCTGAATGCTTCACCTGCAAATTCTCAAGAAAAGAGTTTAAGGAGAATTTACAGGTGAGATATTCAGCTTTATCAGCAGAGGATGTTAAATCAAGAATAGATTTATTTGGAGTATCTCTACCTAACTTCACACTTAGAATTGAGGCTCTATTAAGTGATATGTATATAACGCCTTCTATGGTTTCTGCTACCATCTCTAACCTAGATCCCCACAAAGCATGTAGACCCAATCATATCCCTGAAATTGTCATTAAGAAGTGTGCTCCTAAACTGGCTCCTGTTCTCTTTAAACTGTATAATAAATGCCTCCTGCTTTCCTGCCTGCTGGAAGTCATCATCTGTTGTTCCAATTCTTCCAAACCCAGTAACCCCTTGTATTTTAGTGGCTTTACTGCATTGCATGGGGTGAAATAGATAAAAAAAATGAAATGTTTATAAATTTAACATGTTTCCTTTTATTTAAGCTCTATCAAAAATTAAATATGAAAAAGAATGTTCTGGTACTTTTTGTGTTGTTTGTTTTTCATTAATTAAGTAGACCTCACATGTATTTGACTTATCTGGTAATGTTCATGTGTATAATTCTTGTGAGTTTGGGTATCATAATTCTAGTTGGCCCATGTGGAATTTAGTTGATACAATTATGGTCAGGTAATTACAAAAACTGTTCATTTCCATCAGCATACTAACCTGACTTTGTCAGCACAATGGTGAGTTATAGCTTGAAAGAGATCTTTAAAAATTAGCTTAAACTCATAACTGATCTCTGGCAACAAATGACCAGAAATTTAATGAAAATGCCAGATAATCCATATTGAAAAAAGAAATACAAAGTAAGCAAAAGCTTTCACTTACCTTCCATGTAAATTAATGTCTTTAAAATACATTGAAGAGACAAATTTTTCTGCTCTTTCAAAGGTCGTTCTTTTGTGCTTCATCACTGAATGTTCCATAATTCAACCTGAGAAAGAATAAATGCTATCCTATTGAATAATGCATTGATTTTCTTGTTACCACATTCTACAAAATTTCTTCAAGCGTGCAATCCTTGTGGAGAGGAGTATTTTTAAGAGTTATTAAGTTATTTTGAAAACTTAAGAGTTAAGGAGTATTTTTTTTCTCAGTTGGTTGAGAGCAAATGAGATATATTGGCTGAAAATATATTGTACATATGTAGAAGGCTGTAGAATGCACTGATTGAAACATTGTAGTTAAAATAAAAAAAGAACAAATAGTCTAAACAACTTTTGTAATAATAATAAAATTACTCTCCTATTTAAACACTGTAATTGTGTCAAGGGCAAGTTTCAGAATTAGTGAACGCAGTTGTATTTATTTACAATCATCTACTTTAGAAATTTATATATTAACTAAACTTGTCTGGCAAAAGGCTACAGTTGTAGAGCATGCAGTGAGAATCAAATGCTCTGGTAAACATACCATGTTGAGCTGCTCTTTAGTTAAATTATTTCATTGCAAGTTAATTAAACCTTTTGAATAGTTGAAAGTTCAAAGAGAAAGAAAACAAATCAAAATTTTGTACAAAATAATAAAAATAAAATAAAGAAAGATTCAACATTGATATAAATGCAAGCTAATGATTGTGAACAATCTAAAACAGAAATAAAAAATAAAATAAAAAAAAATTGATGAGCAGAGAAGTTAACAAAACAAATTACTCTTCTCTTTTTACTTCTGCGGCTATGAATCTAGACAAGTAATAATAATAATAATTATGTGTTTCATGTCACTAATTATTAATATTGTTATTATTATGATGAAGTCACACATTAATGTAGTCAAAAGGAATTCTGTCCTTGAGGTATGGTATCAACAGGATTCTCACAACTCAAGAACTTTTTAGAGCATGCTTTCAGAGTAAATGATGGCAGCTTTCTGGAGGTCTACAATCCCCCAATTTTACCAAAACCCTCTTTCAAGTTACTAGGTGATGTTCCAAGTGCCCTCATTACTGCAGAAATTACTTCAAGTTATGTAATTTCTTTTTTTTTTCATTTCTTATGTTACTATTAAAATTACATATCCAGTAAGGATCATAAGTAGCATTGAATGAAACAAATTGTTAAAATAATTTTTCTTTTTTCCAATTTTAAGCTCCAAAATGGCAGATGAAAACTGACACCACTTTTTATTCCAGCAATGATAAGGCTAGGTAATAAACATTTTTCAAATTTAATAAGAATAAAAATAGTTTACTAAACAAAAACATTCCTACAATATTTTACAAAGACTTAATTCAAATTAGTACTAGTTTGTCTATGCTCATGAACAGATTGTGAGAAAATTATAGTCAAGTAAGATCTTGGTAAGCCACCAATGGTAATTCCTATAAAGCACAACATAAAAGATAAACTTAATATTAATTTTTGGTCACTTTTTTTTTTTTTAAATTCAGGAGCGGTAGGCAATAAAAATATATATATATATATATATATTAAAATTTCAAATCAAAGAAAAGCAAATTAACAAAGTAGTGTGAGGTAGTGTCATGTTTTAAAAAGAGTATCACGCACAATAAAATAATATGTCGTTTATACTAATTGAGTTGACATAATGCACAGTTCAGATCAGAAGTCCCTTAACCTATTAGAGTCATTAGGGCACCACATGAAATGCAGCCATAGCAACAGTGGTGTGTCAAGGACAAAATAACCTAACAGAGCCCATTCAGAGTGGTATTTATTTACAAGAGTGTGAATTCAAAATCCTTCTTCCAAACTGGTTGCTACCTAAAAGAAAGAACCCAACATTTTTTTTTTAATCAATTCACCCCAAGCATGACACCAATGCCACCAAGACACTGGGAGCAAAAGAGAATGAAAAGACTTTAGAAAGAACTGGAAACCCAATCCTAAACAAGAAACCCTGCTATTTGATCCAGAGCTGGCAGAAGATGTGTTCCTTTCAATTACAAGGGCATGAGTGCAAATCAAACAAAATCAACTTGGTCAGAAGTTGAATTTCACTTTCTGCATTAATAACTGTTACACTATCTGCACATCTGTGTCAATTTAGCTAGAACTTAAATGCCCTAGCTTAGAAAATGTGTGGTGTCACATGCTTTAATGTCGTCTTATTACTGTTGCGCCTTGATGGTTGACTGAGAGAGGTGTTAATTAAAAGGTCAGTTAAACTTTGTAGCAAACATTTAAACAAATATTTGAAGTCATAAGGTGCTACAGGATTTCAAAAGAAAAGAATTCAACACATGGAGGATTTTATACATATGTTTTATAAAGAACAACATAGCTTACAAAAGAAGAGAAAGAGAAAATTATCTTCATGTATATAGAAACAACTAAAAAAAAGAAAAGAAAGGTAGATAAATGAACCGTGAAATTAAGAAGTCAATCAGTTTGTCTATAGAACAGGGGTTGGCAAATTATGGCCTGCGGGCCACATCCAACCCACCAAGGCTTTTAATGTGGCCCTCTATTACTTTTATAATATTTACAAATTTAATAAAGAATTTTCCAGGTATTTAAAAATTGTATAAATACTTCTTGGAAGAAACATTTGTAGTAATTTTGCTTTGATTTGAATTTCAGTATCATTTTGCAGGATATTTGTAAATGAAATTTAGTGAGAGTCACCATTTCGCATTGTTTTTAGAATTCGATTCTATTTTTTAGTAAGTTAGATTCTAAAACAAAGAAAAACCAGTCACCCATAATGAGTTCTAAAAGACAAAGTTGACTTTGAATTTCATATTTTTATGAAGAAATGGACTGAAAAGTATTTCTTCATAGAAAATGATACAAAAGCTATGTGTCTGATTTGCCACAATACTTGTACAGTATTCAAGGAATATAATTTGAAAAGACATTTTCAGTTGAAACATAGCAACTTCAGCCAAAATTTTTCCACACAAGAAATGCAAAACAAAGCAACAGACATAGTTAAAAATCTGAAATGCCAACAAGGCATACTTTTTAAATGTACATCTACATAAGAGCTTGCAAAAAAGGCAAATAAGATCACAAAATATAACAAGCCATTTTCTAATGCAGAATTTGTGAAAGAATGTATGATTGATACTGTGTGTGTCCAGAAGTCAAATCAAAAGTAGAAGCCATTTCATTGTCATGGAGAACTATTTTTCGTAGAATAGATGCCATTGCTGAAAACTTACATGGAAAACTTTTGGATACTACAGATAAATTCAAGTGGTTCTCAATCACTTTAGATGAGAGCACAAGCATAGTAGATACTGCACAGTTGCTGATTTTCATTTGTGGTATTGATGAAAATTTCAACATCACAGAAGAACTATTGTCAATGGAGAGTCTCAAAGACACTAATAACAGGAATGATTTGTATGAAAGCCTTATATATTGTTTGGAAAATTCGCAGTTATGTCTTGATAAATTTGTGAGCATGACAACTGATGGAGTAACTGCACTAACTGGGACACATTGTAGACTTGTCAAATGGCTAAATGACCACATACAGCCAAACTTCCCAAGTTGCTTTCATTCCAATGCATAATTCACCAAGAAAGTCTTTACAAATCAAAATCGGATTTTAAACACGTGATCAATCCAGTGGTATGTGCAGTAAATGTGATATAGATCAAGGGGACTAAACCACAGTTTCAAAATTTGTTGCAAGAAATGGAGTTTGATTTTTCTGATGTGTTGTAACACACAAATGTAAGGTGGCTAAGTCTTGAAAAAGTTTTGAAAATCGTATAGGACCGCAAAGAAGAGATTTTCACATTTTTTGAAATAAAGGATGTCGTTTGTGACTTCTCCACCAAAATAAAGGATGCAGAATGGGTGTGTGATTTTGCATTTGCTACAGATACCATACAATAAAATGAATGAGGTGACTTTGCTCATGATTTATTTGTGCAGGTAAAATCCTTTCAAACAAAGCTTACACTTTTTGCTAAACTGTCTGATCAAAACTTTGCTCACTTCCCACTTCTGAAAGATCAGCCTGTTGAATATACATCTGCACAAAAATACAGTGGACAGATCACAGCCTTGAAGGAAGAATTTGCTAAGAGATTTGCAGATTTCAAAGCAATGGAGCCGCAGTCCAACATGGTGAGGTCTCCATTCACCGCTGACATTGAAACTGCGACTAATGAACTACAAATGGAACTAATAGATCTCCAAGCTGACAATTCTTTAAAGTATAGCTTTGAAAACACATCTTTAATTTAATTTTATGCATCTCTTCACCCAGAGCATTTCAAAAATTTGAAAGACTCTTCAAGAAATTGTTTGTTCTGTTTGCATCCACTTACATATGTGAGCAAACTTTTTCAAGTATGAAAATTATCAAAAGCAAAAATAGATCTCTTGACAAATTCAAATCTTCAAGCAGTATTAAGAATTAGCACAAGCAGCTTGGAACCAGATATAAGCAAACGAGTTAACGACTGCAGTAGACTACATCAATTTCATTAGTCATACACCTACTATTGTCCTTACAATACATTTTTCTTCATTCTTGTATTATGCTATAATACAATTTTTACATCATAGTGAATTGTAATTAAACTTTAAAACTAGCAAGATGTTTTTAATAATTAACTGATCATGAAAATTTTTCAGTTTCATGCAGATACATTTTTCAATATACAGTCTTCAAAAGCATCTAGCCCAGTAGCCATGTCCATAGTAACAATGCGGCTCACTGGTCTAGAGAATGTTTCACTGGAGGGGAAGTGTCCTGTTGTTGTCACTACTCCATCTCAGAGAAAAAAAAAAAAAAGAGAGGTAAAGGGTTTGTGCCCATTTCTTTTATAGTTTTGAATAAAACACCAGTGGGCTGGTAATCCTCACATATTCTCCAATAATTTAACTACCTAGGGAGATGTCCAGATAAATCCTGTCTATTAAAGTGCAAAATAGTA